TGATGATCAGAAACGCTCTGAATATGAACACTGACTCGTGTGGACGCCTCACCTGAGACCCGCATGTTGACTCTTCAGTGGCTTGACTTAGTTTGCTGCTGATTATCTACCTCAAAAAAAGCTTATTTTGAATGAACTTTCTACATGCTCTGGTATCAAATGCTTCAATCCTGATAAGGTTTTATCGCAGAGTTGCTGTATGGTATTGCATTACAAAAGAGGTTGGAAGATAAAAGTTACGGATGTTCGTTATGACCAGGTGTAGGTCTGTAAATAAAATAAAAAATTACATTGAAATCATAGCTCATGTACAGAACATTACATACGGCCAAATAATTCATTAGTAATCCGTTTGATGGCTTAATCAGATCGATTGATTGAGCTTGATCTGAGTGAAATCTGATTAGAGTGTAGACTGAAATATGACTGCTTCTCAGTCGGATTCATTAATACATGAAGCACATGTGCAGTGCCACGATTAGGATGTTTACATATGTTTCACATCTTCCAAACACGCACGTGTGTTTAATTCTGTTTTATGAGCTGGCCAGTAGTATTTGCACAAAAAAAAAGCGGTTCTGAAATATTGGTCAGCTTTGTTTATTAATGTGTCATCCAGACAAATACAACCCTGCGACTGAAGAACTGCACAATGTTCATAAACAAAACCCTGAAATCAGATTGGTCGTAAAAGTTTTAATTCTCCTATCCACAAATTAAGGCTTTAAAAAGATCTTAAAGCAAAAAGTCGTAAATGTGTAAATTCATGGCATTAAATGTTGCATGCAATGCAAAAAAAAAAGTTTTGTTTTCCAAAACGCGACAGAATCGCTCAAATATCACAAGCATTCAGAAGCACACTGCACTCCCGACGAAATGGACAAGTTAATCATCTAATATTAAACTTTTGAACATTTATTAAAAGTACTGAGTGACTGATACCATCTGTGTGCTTTACTTTATTTTCAAGCTCTGAGGTAATCTGTGTTGCTGCTTTCAGTGTGGCTATA